TTCCGTGAGGGCTAAAATGTGCTAAAATCAAGGGGTGGATGTTTCTCGGAGCCCCACATCGATGCCAGCCCTCCCAATCCTGTTCCCTTTGACTTGCTGCTGCACAAAAACCTCTGAGGTTAACGGTGCCCAGGCGCTGGGTGACAGCGGGTCCACGTGCCTGAGAATTGGGGCAGGGGTTGCTCCCTTACAGCGATTTTTGGATGTGAAGGAATGCAATGGAAAGGGCTTTTGGGGTGCATGGCCTTCCTCCAAACGCAATCCCGAGCGCTGCACACCGATTGCCCAACTGCTCCTGTTTTCTCGCAGCCTCCTCTCTCATTTTTTGCGGATTCCACTGGTGTTTTCTCTGCGCTCGCCATCCTTCCAGGTGCCCGTTTTGTGCATGAGCATCGCTCGTCGTTTCACAGGGCAGAGAGTACCTAAACCTGTGAGCTGAGCTGAGCATTCTGACAGGGCACTCGCGTGTGCAAATGCTGCCCTGTGCCCTCAGGGCTGGATCCCGCAAGAACTTGGTCCTGTTGCCAGGTTTGCTTTGCTCCTGCAGTGAGGGGATGCTGACATGCTCCCGGTAGGGAAATGCAGCATCCCGGGAGTTCAGGGGTATGTGGGTTGCTCCTGTGCAGCTCCTACCCTTCCTCTGCCCTTGCAACTATTGCAGATAAATTATTCAAGGCAGCAAAGCAGCTCTTTGGTGGAAAGCACATGGGATTTACTACGTGGGCAGCCTCACAGCAGCTTTTCCCCAGAGCTGGTGGGGCCCTGGGCCAGCTCGCTCCTGCAGAGCAGCTCCCCATGTGAGCACAGGCCGTTATAAATATAACTGAAAACAAAGCGCTGCTGCCCAGCAACTCCTGGCTGCCCCGCTCCCAGTTAAAAATAAAAGACCTTTGGCTGCGGGGACGTGTTAGACAGCCCAAGGGTGTCTTCTTGCCTAGCTGTTGGGGAATGATTGCTGCTTTTACACGGCAGGACTTTCCTTGTGTCACTGCCTGAGTCGCGCTGTAGCTGCAGTTGGTTTGCGGGGTGGGACGGGCGCAGGCTCTGCAATGGGGTTTGAGGCTGCGGGGAGCCGGAGCGTGGTAAACCCATTGCTGCTTGGTGCACTGCTCCAGCTACTTGGAAAATACTCCGAGTGCACGGAGAGATCGGGACATTTCTCAACCTCCCAGGCAGGGTTCAACACATCCCGCCTTAAAATAAATGTGCCAAGTGCTACTTGGGCGAAATCTGCTCGTTCAGGGGGGCTGGTCCTCATTCCGCGGATGAGCTATAAATAAGCAAAGGAAGAACAATCAACAGTTCAAAATCGGAGTTATGAGCAGGGAATGTGAACCTGCTAATTAAAGCGTGTGCCCGGCTGCCGGCGTTGCCAGACGCTCCTGCGCGGGGAGCGGGGCGGTGGGAGGTGCGAGGGGTCCCCTGTA